TATGTATGTATGTATGTATGTATGTATGTATGTATGTATGTATGTATGTATGTATGTATGTATGTATGTATGTACTAAAGATGGAGAAACGACAATGTTTTGACTTGATAATGGTCCGGGACGGACCGAAACGTCGTCGCCTCTCCATCGTGCCATCGTGGTAGCCTTGCCCGATGGCACCACAAGGACGCGATGACTCTATAAACGAATATTGCCGCTTTGCAATGGGATCGAACCCGCGTCTCGGAAGAACTCGGGCCCTATTTGTCCTTTTCATCAAGGGGTTACATGCACTGAGTGGTGTTCCCTGCTACTCGGTGCATATACACTAATGGTATAATTTAGTCTTATACTATGCTCAGGAGCGGAGTATTCTCGCTGTTAGTTGGTTGGTCAGTAAGCCCTTGTGGTGACCCTTATAACCCTCCCGTGACATTAACAAGCTTTTGAATGGATTTGTGTGACATTTGCAAGTTTCCACTTTTGTACAACCGTTCCTGACTCGAGTAGTTTCCTAAAATCTCTCCCCAAAGTTTAATGACAATTGAATTGTTAATTTCTTTAAATGTTCTTGGGATGACATTTGTGAGGTTCAGCTGTTTTATTTAATGTTGTAATAACATCCTGTTACAACAAAATATACATTGGAGGAATTATTTTCTATTGCTTAGAATTGGAGATCAAAAAGGGATGTTACATCTATTTTTCTATTACTCTTAAACGACAGAGCATTAAATATATGAAACATTGAACCAATTAAACATTAAACATATGAAACATTGAACCTATTAAACATTAAACATATGAAACATTGAACATATTAAACATTAAATATATGAAACATTGAACCTATAAACATTAAACATATGAAACATTGAACATATTAAACATTAAATATATGAAACATGACCTATTAAACATATGAAACATTGAACCTATTAAACATTAAACATATGAAACATTGAACCTATTAAACATTAAATATATGAAACATTGAACCTATTAAACATTAAACATACGAAACATTGAACCTATTAAACATTAAACATATGAAACATTGAACCTATTAAACATTAAACATATGAAACATTGAACCTATTAAACATTAAACATATGAAACATTGAACATATTAAACATTAAATATATGAAACATTGAACCTATTAAACATATGAAACATTGAACCTATTAAACATTAAACATATGAAACATTGAACCTATTAAACATAAACATATGAAACATTGAACCTATTAAACATTAAACATATGAAACATTGAACATATTAAACATTAAATATATGAAACATTGAACCTATTAAACATATGAAACATTGAACCTATTAAACATTAAACATATGAAACATTGAACCTATTAAACATTAAACATATGAAACATTGAACCTATTAAACATTAAATATATGAAACATTGAACCTATTAAGCATTAAACATATGAAACATTGAACCTATTAAACATTAAACATGTGAAACATTGAACCTATTAAACATTAAACATATGAAACATTGAACCTATTAAACATATGAAACATTGAACCTATTAAACATATGAAACATTGAACCTATTAAACATATGAAACATTGAACCTATTAAACATTAAACATATGAAACATTGAACCTATTAAACATTAAATATATGAAACATTGAACCTATTAAACATTAAACATATGAAACATTGAACCTATTAAACATTAAACATATGAAGCATTGAACCTATTAAACATTAAACATATGAAACATTGAACCTATTAAACACTAAACATATTAAACATTAACATTAAACAACAAAGCATTCATTTAATAGCCTTACAAATTCCTCTCGCAAGCAAAACATTGTTTACACCAGTGGAGGAAAAGAGAAGGGGATCCGTGGCTGCCCTTCATATCAACAAAAAGACAAAGGCATGCAGATGATGACTCTACATTCCAGGCTGCGAGCTGCTGCGTCTGACAGCTTGGTTGACCAGTCCAGCAACCAGGAGGCCTGGTCGGGGACCGGGCCGCGGGGACGTTGAGCCCCGAAGTCATCGCAAGGGGTACCATCTCTTCATCGTCAACATTCGGCCCGGTCTCTGTATTGTGTACGCTGTGGTAAAACAGAATTGCTGCCCCAACCAGAAACTTCTGCAAACCCAAGCATCCCACCTAACCTAACCTACCGATATTTAGAAACTGGGAATAAGCCGCTACTTTTCATAGTGCTTTGTAATATGTTCGTTGGGGGACTATAACAGACTGAGGGAGAAAACTGTTTATCTTATCTTAAACAACTGTACAGTTATTTTTCATCTACTTTGCAAATGTCTGCTGTGTAGGATTCGTAATTATGGCTGCCAGGACGAATTAGTTGCTCTGCCTTACGCCGTAACTTGACTCCTTCTACTGCATTCTCTTCTGAAACAAATGAGGAGGTTTTCTTTCATATGGTGCACCCTGTTCACCTAGACGTAAATAGGTACCTGGGAGTTAGACAGCTGCTACGGGCTGCTTCCTGGGATGTGTGTGTGTGCGTGTTAGAGAAATATACGTAGTGGACATAATAGAGGAAAAATAGATTCGTTAGAAAGGCGGGGTCCAAGAGCTAATAGCTCGATTTTTCAGGCACAGATAGTAAATACACACACACACACACACACACACACACACACACACACACACACACACACACACACACACACACACACACACACACACACACACACAGTGTGTGTGTGTGTCCCTAACCTACATACCATGCAAGCTGATGGAGAAGATTGTACGAAGAAAGCTAGTGGAACATCTGGAGCGAAGGGACTTTGTAACAAGTTCAAGTATGTTTATTGAGATAAGCAAGAAATACATCTCAAAGGGATAGAGTAGCTTAGGCTATTTCTACCCCCCCACTTTGTAACACAGCATCAACATGGGTTCAGAGATGGCAAGTCCTGCCTCACAGGGCTAATTGAATTCTACGACCAGGCAACAAAAATCAGGCAAGAAAGAGAAGGGTGGGCAGACTGCATATTTTTGGATTGTCAAAAAGCCTTTGATACAGTACCACACAAGAGGCTAGTGAAAAAACTGAAGATGCGGGCTGGAGTGAAAGGGAAGGTACTTCGTTGGATAAAGGAGTACCTAAGTAACAGAAGACAACGAGTCACTGTGAGGGGAGAGGTCTCGGATTGGCGTGACGTCACACGTGGAGTCCTGCAGGGGTCAGTCCTTGGACCAATACTTTTTCTGATATATGTAAATGATCTCCCAGAGGGTATAGAGTCGTTTCTCACAATGTTTACTGATGATGCAAAAATTATGAGGAGGATTGAAACAGAGGATGATAGTAGGAGGGTACAGGACGACCTAGACAGACTGAATGAATGGTCCAACAAATGGCTGCTAAAGTTTAACCCGAGAAAATTCAAAGTAATGAAACTAGGCGGTGGAAACAGGAGGCCTGACAAAAGATACAGAATAGGAGATGAAGTACTTAATGAAACAGAAAGAAAGAAAGATCTAGTTATCACACCAAACCTGTCTCCTGAAGCCCACATAAAGAAAATTACGTCTGCGGCATATGCGAGGCTGGCTAACATCAGAACAGCCTTCAGGAACCTGTGTAAGGAATCGTTTAGAAGTTGTACACCACATACGTAAGACCAATCTTGGAGTATGCTGCCCCAGCATGGAGCCCGTACCTTGTCAAGCACAAGACGAAGCTGGAAAAAGTTCAGAGGTATGCCACTAGACTAGTCCCAGAACTAAGAGGCATGAATTACGAGGAAAGGTTGCGGGAAATGCACCTTACGACACTGGAAAACAGAAGAGTGAGGGGAGACATGATCACTACCTATAAAATCCTCAGGGGAATTGACAGGGTAGACAAGGATAAACTATTCAACATTGGCGGTACGCGAACAAGGGGACACAGGTGGAAACTGAGTACCCAAATGAGCCACAGGGACGTTAGAAAGAACTTTTTCAGTGTCAGAGTAGTTAACAGGTGGAATGCATTAGGCAGTGATGTGGTGGAGGCTGACTCCATACACAGTTTTAAATGTAGATATGAGCCCAGTAGGCTCAGGAATCTGTACATCAGTTGATTGACAGTTGAGAGGCGGGACCAAAGAACCAGAGCTCAACCCCCGCAAACACAACTAGGTGAATACACACGCACACACACTTTCTTTGCCCGGAGGCTGGTGGAAGACGGTCCGCGGCGCAGACACCACTCGCTTTTAGGAATGTTCCCCACCATCACCTTCCTCAATTTTCCCCACTCATTCGTCTGGAAGATTTTACGTAAGGGGGTGGCCGCCACCCGGCACCTGCGGAGTGCGCGTCCACATATAAATTCCGCTCGTTTTCCGGGTATTGTTAAGGCGGTGAGGGGTAGTTAAGGAACCAGGAGAATTACGGATGGAAAGGTGTCTTTCTCTTTCAATCTGTGTATTGTTGATATCGCCGATATTGTCTCGGGAGGCTGGCGCTTGACAGCATTTTCGCAAGCTCTCGTGTCTTTTATGCGATCAGAAGAGACCTGTTCCGCACGATATATCCCTGCCTCGGCGTCCCGGTGTGAGTGTGTCTAGCTCCTCACCTTATCTCTTGTGTTTTCTTACCCCCCCTCTTTTTTTTCCTTTTAGAACAGTGTAGACACAAAGGATTAGAAACTGAACGATTGGTAACACTGGACTCAGTAAAGAAGTCGGTGTGGTCAGTGTGTGTCGGGCGGCCGGCTGCCCGATGTACGACCCTTTCACACCACGCCTCCTCACCGTTGTCTCACCTTCATCTGGGTTAAATCGCGTAATGCGATAATCCTTCCTTCTTGCGTAGAGTTTTTTGAGGTACATTAGAGGACGGGAGTGAGCGGTAACGCTGTTATAAGGCGGTGGTGGAGTCGGTGGTGTTGCAGCGTGTGGCAACGGGTGGCTTAGCGTAGTGAGAAGAGAAAAGAAGGTCCAGTTGTAGCGTAGCCAGTGGTGGGTGCGGACGCGGCCCAACACCCTTACCTTTGTCATGTTTAGTACTGGGAGTTTGGGGATTATCTCGGTCACTAATCATAACTGAGGGAGAAGAGCAAATATCGAGCAGAGGGTAGTGGTGTGTGGCGCCAGAGATGTCGGGCCGTGAGAGAATATAATACAAATTGGAATACATGAAGTGTGTTGGCCACTAATACTTACTGGACAGGTTGCTAGTACTGTGTGGATGAGATTTTGGGCAGCAAGCTGGAGGGAGCAGCGGCCAGCCTCCTCCTCCCTGGCTCGTGGCCTGGCGTGAGGAAATGCCACACCTTAAGCTGCTACTCTAAATGGAGTAAGCGAGGAGCCAGACGGACAGGAAATTGCAGGAGCAGCGATGATTGGGCCGTGTTGTGGACACCTGCCTGGCTGACCTGAAAGAAAACGATCGAGGTGGTGAAGATGGTGCGGCGGTGAGGAGACTTGAACGATGTCTGAGGAAGGGATCCCAGAGCGGTGGGCGGCCGGGTGTCCTCTCTCTGTGTGTACTCTGGGGCTCGCTGACAGGGTGTAGGTGTCTACACTTACTGATGCGGGTGTGAGGCTCCCCCACCCACCACCACCATCACCCCCACTACTCCTTCTCCACCACCCCCCTTCCTTACTCCTCCGGCTCCACCACTCCAGTCCCGGTGATCTGCAAGGACAGCATAATAAG